AGAGTGAAGCAGCTAAAGGTAGCTGTGGTGCAAACAGTGTGGACAGATGTTTAGGTTCATGCAAATGACAGCAACAGCACTGAAATTGAACCTGGGGCTGGGACACTGCCTCAGGAGCAGTCTCTCATCCTTCAGACCATAGTTTTGTCTTACCCTATAACACCTTTCCCATTGGTTGCTTTTCTTCTTTTCTGCCTTCCCTTGCCTTCAAGGCATTTATTTGCTGGGGTAGTGTTCACTTAATGCCACAGAAATCATTTTGTTTTGGCCTAATGACAAATAGCAATTGCTATGGTCACTTGGTCTTCATTTTGAAGGCAATAAAAAGAAGGTGAGTGAAGCCTCAGCAGCCACTAATACCTCATAACCATTCTTTTTTCCTTTGATAAATTAGCTTCAACAACCACTTGACCAAAACAGCCCGCAATCTGATTTTGTAGCTTCTGTCTGGTGCTTTAACAAAGCCCTGACAGTGGAACAAAGTACAGGCTATGTCAAAAACATACACTGCTGAATTATGCTTGGAGTATTCATAGAAACATCACATCAGAAGTAATGAGGGGTTTGGTTTAATTTCCAGTTTACTTAATGAAACTAACTGGCTGGGCCTTTATCACCAAAAAGGAGACATTTCTGATTTTGTATCAGTTATATTTCAGTATCCTACTTTTTGATTTTGCAAAGACAAAGTGGGAGTACTCAAGAATTTTCCTTGCCTTAACTAATCATCTTGATTTCAGATCTGGACACATTTTTAATATTTATGAATCATAAAGGAGAAGTTACATTTATCACTGTTTCCTATATGCAGTCTATAAAATCCATGCTAGTCATGTCTGCCCGCATTCCCTGAGGAGGAATAGAAAGAAGAAAACTAGTTTCCTAGAGCATCTGCCTCCCTCCTTATCTGGGTCTCCATTGTCAGCACAGAGCACATGAAGAGAAACTGCAGGACAGACTGTAGTTTCAGCCTGTGTACTGTTTGAGGAGCTCCGTGAGTGCTGCTAAGCACGCTTTGTGCTCTGGTAGGGAAGAGAATGGCAATAATAGCACATCTAATACCCAGCAAAGGGCATAGCTTTTAAAAACCTGCAGTTTCCCCACCAGCTATCTCAGAGATGCGGGAGCCAACAATAATTTGATATGATTAGGTCATGACCCAAAATAGGAGGAATGATGTTTTATGCCACCAGAGGATTTAAGCCCATCCATTGAAGAGAGCAGACAGTGAGTTTTAGAAAACAAAGAGGAAAAAATAACTTCTCACATGGGATAAGATTCACCTATGGATCTCATTGCCAGGGTAAGTGTGGTTCAGACGGGAACTAAACAAGCTCACATAAACATGGATGTGTGAGTGGCTCCAAGCACAAGGAGCAGGGAACAAGACCGTCATCTGCTGCTGGTCAGTGGTCAGCCTTGCACACTCCTGGATGAAAAGTTGTGTATGCAGTATTTTGTGATTGCTCACCTCCCTGCCATAAGACACATACACAGAATATGGGAAGTCAGGTATATGCTTCAAACATCACGTTGGCTCTGAGTTTCTGGGTATCCCAGTGTGGGGGATTGGTTTGAGCCTACCTGTACCTGTAGATGATGCTCCTTGAGCCAGCTCTTCAGATGAGAAGAGCATTCATATCCCTTGGCTGGCCTGCCAGGTGCTGTCTGACCAGATACATAAGGTGCTGAAATGTTCTCTTTTAATCCCTTGTAACAAACCTGCAGTGAAGTAAGAGTCCATGTTTTTTATAAGCACAATGCTGATGTATGAATTCACAGTGAGAGCAAAGGCTTTACCCTCTGGGGAAATATTCAAGTGAGCTGTTGGAGCACACCACCATGCACCGAAGCCAGAGTCAGTCTGCCCTAAGCAAACATTGAACTGAGCTGGGCTGCTGCCTCTCACTGCTCTCCCAGCAAGTATGTACATTTTTAATGAATTTTTTTTTTAAACAGATGGGTGGGCAGGGAAGAGGAGGAAAAAGGGGAGAATAGGAGAAAAAGCAATGCTAGGGGACTCTGGAGTAGCTGGTGTGAAGGGAAAAAATGTCATGTCGCTTACAGGCAGTGGGCAGCATAAGGAAGCACGTATCCAAATGCCTCCAGTGGAAGTGGGCAACGTTCTTGGTTTGCTTATGGGTGAGAGAGGAGGGGATGAAGATGAGAAGGGCTATTCCATCACTCAGGGAAGTGGGGAGCAGTGGGCAACTTTCTCAGCTTTGATCTCTGGGCACAGAAATTCCTTCCCCTGGCCGTTACCATGCCAGGGATTTCCCAAAGGGTTTGAAACATCTTCCTCTCTTCCTTGAAACTGCACAGGACAGTGAATGCATAAATTTGAACACCTGTACCAGTTCTGAAAAACTGTGAGGATAATTTTGAATTTTGGATCAGATACAATCATTTCCTACCACCATTAAGTGCCGGAACATTGTGTTAGTGTGTCAACAAGTGTTTAAATATTGGTCCTGTGACACTGTGGCTTAAAACAGAGCAGGCTCTGCACAGGCAGAATCTGCTGCTGCAGACAACACACCTCATTCTCAGAGTAATCTGATTAGGGTATGAACTTACAAAGACTTATGTATACAACAGCATAATCATACAATGACTTAGATAGAAAGGGATCTCCGATTGTCATCTGGCCATACCCCCCTGCACAAACACAACCAGTTTTAAAGTTAGGTCATGCACACTACTCAGGGCTTCAGCAAGCTGAGCTTTGAATACCTCTGAGGGTGAAGATCCTGCAGGGTCTCTGTGCATCTGTTCCAGTGTTTGACTGACTTTGTTGTGAAGTTTTTTCCCTAAAGATCTTATTGGAATTTCTTAAGTTCCATCTTGTGGCCTCTTGTCCTGTCACTGTGCACCTCTGGGAACAAACAGGCTGGCTCTAAGCAGCAGTGACATGCACTCTGTGCCTTTTCTTCTTAACACTGAATAAATCCCTCAGCCTCTTGCTAGACACCAAATACTCCAGTCCTTGACCATCTCAGTAGCCCTTGACTGATTTTGATCCAGTATGCCAATTATCTTTCTTGTGCTAAAAGCCTGAAAGAGGACTCCACACTGCAGGCACGGCCTTCCAAGTGTCCAACAGACACGAAGACTCACTTCCATCAAATGCACCCCTGCCAATACAGGATGTAGTTGGGCCCCCTTCACTACTACAGCACATGGCTGATTCACATTCAGTTTGTTGCCCATCGGGGCCTCCAGCTCTATTCCTGCAAAGCCACTTTCCTACCTTGACATGTACTGCAGCATGTCATTATTGCTCCCCAGGTGCAGGACTTCATCAAACTTCATGAGGTCTGTCAGAAGTCTCTTTTCCAGCCTGTCGAGGTCCCTCCTCTTGTCCTGACCTCCAGCATATCAACCATTTTCTCTAACTCAGTAAATACTTGCTGAATAAATACTATACTTTGTTCCTAACACCCAGGTTACCAATAAAGACACTGGACAATATTGGTCCCTGCATTGAGCCCATGAGGATACTACTAGTAGCCAATCCCTTGTAGGACTTGTGAGTGACATTATGTTAGATAGTAGCCTTGCAGTGGCATGGGCCAGTTCACAGAGAACTCTCAGATGCATCCCATCCACACCTTGCGTATGGCATATTTGCTTAAATGGTTGCAAACAGAGACAGCTATAGGGGGCTCAAAAAGCATCTTCCAAAGGTAACTTACAATTGATGCTAAAAGTCTCCTCAGAAGAACATTGAGGCACCTGACAGTGAGGACCTCTCCCTACAGATCAGCCTAGGAGTAGGGATGAGATGAAGAAAAAGCACAGAGATATCTTTGGAAAAGTAATGCTGAAGAGAACTTTGAGCAGATACTAAAATTCTCTCTGAGAAAGATTGGTCAGGCAAGGGTTAGGGCTTAGAGAAAGAAGAATGTCTCTGCTCAAGTAGACTTTTTGGGTCTATGGGCCCCCTTGGGGTAGAAAGAAGGAGAAAGCCAAGAGCTAGAGGTGGACTGGCCTTCTTCTGGGAGGAAGATTTAGGCTCTTGATGGAATAAGGTCCCTGAGCCATGGGTGGCCTTTCCCTTAATGTTTTGGATTGTGATGAGACAAAGCCCAGAGACACAGCTGCAGTGGAGGTGGAAAGGAAACAGCATCCTCTTCTAAGAAGCTGTGAGTCTCAGGGTGGAGTTGGATGCTTGCAGGATTAGGGTTAAGACTGAGAGAAGGTGAAAGCTCAGAGCTAGAATATGGCTGGGAAAGGTCTGCCAAAGAAAACAGTGCAGGAGCTTGAACTAACAGTAACCTGGGCTGCATTAGAAGCGTTGCCACTTGAGATGACCCTTCCCCTTTACTCAGCGTGGTGAGGCCACACCTGGAGTTGTGTGTCCATTCCTGGGCTCCCCAGTACAAGAGAGACAGACATACCGGAGAGAGTCCAACAAAGGGCCACTAAGATGACTGAGGGACTTACATCTCTTACACAAGGAGAGGCTGAAAGAGCTGCGAGTGTTCAGACTGGAAAGGAGAAGGCTCAGGGGAATCTCATCAATGTCTATAAATAACTGGAGTGAGGGTGCTAAGAGGACACAACCAGGCTCTTTTCAGGTGGTAATCAGTGACAGGACATGAGGCTATGGGCACAAACTGGAACACAGGAGGTGTAGCCTGAACATCAGGAAGCATTTCTTTACTGTGACCAAGTGCTGGCACAGACTGCCCAGAGAGGCAATAGAGTCTCTATCATTGATGATATTCAAAAGCTGCCTGGGACACAGTCCTGGGCAACCTGCTCTACCAGCTCTTGAGCAGAAGAGCTGGACCAAATGACCTCAAGAGGTCAATTCCCACCTCAACCATAGTATGATTTTATGAACTCTCTCTCTGCTAAGACAAATTGAAGTTCTGAGTGGAACAGAGTTTGCAGCCTATGCCAGGCTGCATCAAGCAACACTACTCCCTAGGGAGCAGGGTGCTAACATGGAACCATGCAAGGGCCTAACCCCCCAGAGCCCAGCCCCACAGTACCTGAATGAGGCAAGCACGGCAGACACAGAGATGGCAGCCTGGCTTGAGCAAGTGTCCAGGATGATAATGCAGTATCATCATGACGAAGCACATCCAAGGGTCAATCCAGGAAGTCAGTCCATGGGTTAGGATCAGGTCCAGTGACTGCCAGTCAGAGCCATGGTATTGAGGAACAAGCCTGGAGAACTCTCCACAGGCTGGGTTCAGATCAGGGAGGAAGGCTGTAACCAAGCACAGCTGAGCTGGAGACCACGCTCCTCCAACACAGCTCAAGAAGAGTGCAACTGCTCTAGGCTAAGCCTAAATAGAGCTCATGGGCTCACAGGTGTGGGCAGAGGCCCCAGGTGAGGCTGATCCTGGACATTACGATTTACTCATGCCCTGGGGATCCTGTGAGCCTGTGGGTCAGCCTAGGGACAGGCTTAGGATCAGAGACAAGAAAAAGTAAAAGCTTGGAGCTATGGTTACATGGGGGTTGGCAGGAGATCACAAGAAAAATGAAAGCTGAAGAAAGCATCCTCTGCTAAGGCATACTTAGTCTTTGTGAGGGCTGGGCTGCCCTTTTCAACCTAGGATGAGAGCTAAAGTAGAGGAGAAGTGAAAGCTGGATGCTTGTTATTGGGGCTGAAAGAAGCTGCCAAAGGAAACGGAGGTGTGATACCAAAATCCATCTCTGAGGAATACTGAATATAAGGACAGTGGAGACCGTGTCTTGTAGATCAGTCAATGATTATGGTAGAGAGAGAGAGGAGGACGGAGGGAGAATGCTCAAATCCTTAGTGTGAGGTTGGGCAGAGGCTGCCAAAGGAACCTGAGTGCAGAAAAAATTCTGAGTGCCTACTCAGAGATGCAGAACGGGATTAACATTAGGGTAAGAGAAAAGGAAAAGCTTTACTCTGAGTGAGGCTGGAAAACTATTCTCCAAGTGAAACGGGGGGCTAGTGCTAGAGATGTCTATTCTCATCGAATTTATTTCGTGAGTTACTACTGACATTTTTACCCTGCGTGTGAGGTCTTTGTCAATGCAATCTTTCTTGAAATTTCTTGCTGAAAATCTAGAATATTCCTCTTTCTACTCTCCAGGCAAAACTCAGCCTCTCCAGCCACCTATTGTTGCAGGGTGGGTTGAGTACTGGTAACACTGGGACTTTCCCATCTTCCTAGTCTCTGCAGTAGGCTCCCTGCTGCACTGGTTGACATACGGAATAAAAAGAAAACAACAACTAGGAATCAAAACACTTTAAAACATTCCCTAAAGGCAGTGGTAAAGCATTTATGTAATAATGTCTTAAGTCAGAACAAAATATTAAAATAAATATTAGGGGTGGGAGCAGGAAACTCAAACCATATTTTTCTCCTGGTGCACACAACGGCTGCTGCTGTCACCAGATGGGTGCCTGGGGGAAGGCAGCTCTCCGCCACGGTAAAGCAGAGAGGCCTCAGCAACAAGGGACTGAAGCATCAGTGCCCTGGAGGTGACAGACAATTTAAAGAGGTTTCATAAAATTATTGGCCAACATTTAACAGCGTGGATTGCTCAGATGAGCACCTGAATTTAAATCGGGTGCTCGATGCTGTGAGCACCTGAGCACAAGAGCAGCTTTGTGCAGGCAAGCAGGCCCACCAGACCCTGCAGGAACATGCTCGGGGGTCTTGGTCCAGCTGAGCACTGCAGGAGGGCTGTGCTGACACTCCCTGTCAGCTGTTTGGTAGTGCTAAAGAGGCTCTCTCATCTGAGAAGCAGCGGCTGTGGCTGGGGAGGTTGAAGATCTGTGTGTTTCTGGTAACTCATTATTTCAGCAACCTGGTTTCCAGTCTGGCTGGAGAGTACTGGGGCAGCAAAACAGAGGCTGGGAACCGCAGCCCAGGTGCCAACTGGGAGGAATACCCTGAACTGCATTTTCCTTCCAGGGAAAGCTATCATGTCACCACAACCTGAGCCCTCCTCTCTTCCACTATGGGATTTTTTCCTTAGCTTGCCCTCTTCTTCTTCTTGTTCAACTTGCCTGGGTGCTATTTAATGACCAGGGACATTGTAGTGACTTAGTCTGGCATTTAATCCTAATGATTCCCAAGTGTGAGTAAAGCCACTAGGACAAGGGCAAGTCCACATGTAGTATTAATAACTAGTACAGACTAGCTCAACTGTTGTCACACTAACTGAAAGCTGCAATATACTGTCAGGTAGATATACCTCATTAACTAGCCTATGCCCTTGGGATGAAAAAAAGAGTGATGCCTAAGGCACGATACCCTCTGATCAACATGCACATGGGGCTAGGACTGGGCACTGCCCACTCACACTGACATACAAGACACATATTTTCTCCCTGTGGGAGTTCCCATAGTTTTCAGAGCTTGCCATGTCTTGCAGAGTGCACACAGGTCCTGGCTCAGCAGTGCAGTTGCACTGGGACAACATCACTGGAAAACAAGTCTTGTCAGGGCCATGGGAGTGAGTTTTCAGTAACTTTGTCTTGTCGGTGGTTATGTGATTGTTCAGTGCATGCCAGGGAGTTGGCAGAAGAGCAGCAGTGGTCCAAGGTGGGGAAGGAGGAGGACATGGCTGTCCTTTCCATAGCAGTTAGCAACATGGTCACATTAAGTGTGCCAGCAAACGGGACCATCATTCACCTAAAGGTTTCTGAAAATCCTAACCACTCTTCTTTTCTTAAATTTATATTCTAACTGATCACTCATTATTTTTCAGGTCAAACTCCTATTCATGACAGTCAAATGCTGACTGAAAATGCTGAAGTAAAAAGTTGCCTTGAAAACCCACAGCCAGTTTTTATGGATCTGGACTAGGAGACTGAGCTTCCAGAAACATGAGGGAAAGCCAAGCTGTCACTAACATCAATTAATCTTTTTGAGGTTGCATTTTACATCATTTTAATTAACTTCTATTGAGTGTGGATCTTCATTTTTCAAATGGAAATACGTTTATTAGAACACTTATTAAATACTTCCACTACACTACCACTGAAGATTGCTAATCAAGGAGGACCCCCAGCCATTCCCCTCCTTGCAGTGCTCTGCCTGCCAGTTTGGTGCCTGCCTGGCTTCCTCCAACCCTTCTCAGTTACCTGCACCTGGGTTAACACATGGCAATGCATCTCTGTGGAGAACCTTTTCTCAGCCTGAACTATATGCCCTGCAGCTGGGGAGTTTCTTGGAAATGGTGAATTTATACTGCACTGGGCAGAGAGAGAAGGTAATGTCATGCTGTGCAGAAAATCCCATTAGTGTTCTTCCAAAGTGGCTTCAGGAGAATGCAAGCCAAATTCATTTTCCATTGCACTGCCAAGCTATTAACCTCTAAGTCTGCCATGTACATCTGAGGTGACAGAATAGGAAGCTTCTTGAGTTTCTTGAGATCCAGAAGTTCTCAGAGCTCCAAAGACTGAACCAAAATGACTGACATTTTCCCATACTCTCTGTCATGCGTTTGTCAAAAACAGCACAATACAATCAACTTTACCTGGTATCAGGAGAGAAGAAATAGCCTGTATAATAAGAAGATAAAGAAATATTGAAAGACTTTCAAAGGACATGGGTGAATCCTGAAAAACAGGACAGTGTTCATTATCAGTGAACCAAGACACTCTTGAGACATGCATCCTCAGAGGGGGTACATTATAAATGCTGTTGGGAAACTATCAAATTCAGAGCTCCAACTCCCCACTGACTCAAAAACACTTTGCAAGAGTTTGAGGAGGTTGCATCTTTCTTTTCATTTTGATTTGCAAAAGGAGATCTGATGAAGTTATGAATCAAGGGTTGCAAGGCTTACCTCCATTAAGTAATACTGAGTGGTTGTGTGACCTGATATTCTTAGCTGATGTTTTCATCAGTTCTCTTGCAAAGAAGCTCCAAAGTCCAGGAAAATTCACATCTCCTCTGCTTGGCTGTGCGAATTCATCTGGAGGAACACTGATTCAGACTCCAGAAGTCCCATTCAGGCATGAACAAAAACGATGCAAAACTCTCCCTCTGTGCCTTTGCAGAAGAGATGTGGATCAGGTTACCTAAAGATACTTCTTGCAAATTAATTTTACTATCCAGGCCTTGCTTTTGTCCATTGTATGACACTGCCTGAATGAAGTTGAGACCACCCTATTCCAACATGAATTATCCACCTGCTCGCTTTCATGGAAAATTCCAATATACCTTATCACTAATTGCCTCGTACCATCCTAAATTAAATTAAATGTGATTAAAATTATTCATCCAGGCTGCAAACTTGTATAGACTAACTAAAAATATCAGATTTGGAGAATTTACCTACAACAAAAAAGTCATTTTTATTTTATGTCTGAGGAAATCCTATCGGACTCAAATCCTAAATCTGCACTGACTGAAATCTTTGGGAGTTTTGCTCTGTCGTTTAAAGAGCCTTTAATTACTCTTCCATTCCATAGGACTTCCCTGTAAGCATAAGGAGGTTAATTACTTCCTGAGTGGTATCTGCTTCATATTATTATTAATTATTTAGTAATTAATTACGAGGCATTGCCTCCCAGGGATGTGTGAGAGCTATGATAGTCACCGATAAAGACAGCCTCTGCCCCAAGGAATTTCCAATCTCTTCTTTTAACTTGCATGACCAACAAGATATAGCTTCATTTAAATGGTAGCTTGCCCAAAACAAGGGGGAAAAATGGCAGTCTGTCCAGGACTGAGGAGGAGCCAGAGGTTTACAGGATAGGCAACGTGTGCACCTTTTACATGTTCATACCCAAGAGCAGCGAGCGAATGCAAATATTCAGCCTTGGATGCCTGTTCTCTGGGAAGTACACACCCGGCATTTGCTCACGCAATCTGCCTACCGGGTCCTGCCATGGCAGGAATGGCCAGCAGGCACAAGCAGGTTGAACGCAGGGATGGCAAAACAGGCCTCTCCAGGCACCGAGACCAAACCACAGTAGCGGGAAGGCTGCTGTCCATCCAACACCCCTTTTACAGCTCCAGACGTGAGCTCTGGCTGCTGAAAGGCTGTTAAAAATATACCTTCTTGGGAGGAGATACAGCAGAAATAGCTTCTAGCTGTTCTCCAACTCCTGACAGCCCGTGCTGCAGTCACAGGGCAAGCTGCCGAGCCAGGGCTCTGCTCCGCCGCCCGCTGATGCAGCTCCATGGTGTGCACCCTGGTGAAGGCAGAGGGTAAGTGGCCTTACCCCAAGCAGACTTCACCCCATATTGTGAAGAAGAGCCATCCCAAGGGCTGTTCTCCTGCCTCTGAAGCTGGTAGCGAGGAGAGGGGAGTTCAAACGTACCAGAGCAAAGCAGCATGCGGCAGACTGTCAGACTTGACACCAGCTAGGGATTTCGCTGTTTAAATCCTAACTTCAGATTCAGTCTGTGTGGCAACAGGCTGAAAACGAAGCAGCAGGCAGCTTTTTCCAGTACTTCCAGAGTGCAGGTACCCAGCTGTTACACCCACTTGCTGGTCTTCCCTATTTTTTCTTCCGTGCAGCAGACAAGAAATTGAAAACAGCATCACAGCTTAAAAGCTTCTGTGTAAAAACAAATCTGCTCTTCTGCACAATTAGGAATTCACTAAATCAAAGTCACACTACCATGAACCTGGTGCCCCTCACAGAAGGTCTGGTGATGCTACTTCCAGGTTGAGCGCCCCTGAGAAGCAGAGGCTTTTCCCTGGCATCACGACATATGCAAAGCAGCAAGCAGCCTCCTGCGCAAACACGAGGCTGCCCTACTTTCTGCAGATGACTGCCCCTCAACCATCTTCACCAGACAGTCTGATTATATTTCTTACACTGCAACACAGCTGTTCATAACTTGTCATCTGCACCGAGAACCCTGGCCAAGTACTCCAGCTGTATAATAGCTTTTTATTGTTGACTGAAGAGTCTCGGTACAAATGACTTTCCCTTACATCCCTGCAAATCACACAAACATTGCACAAGGCAGAGAGTGATGCATTTAGAACCACCTCTTCCAAGTGCCAAAACTGTTTTAATGAGGGTTGTCTTCCTCCAGACACTTAGCAGTTCCCATTTGCCAAAACTCTTTTTGCTGAGAAGATACATGAGAAATGCTGTTGACACGTTGCTGGGCACACTTCTGGATTTGGAAGATGCTGCTTTCCTGGTTGGAAACCCATGACAAAAGGCAAGCTATTTTGTGGTGAGTTGATGCTTTTTGCTCCAAAATCAACAATGCTGAGTACGAGGAGATTGCTGCGAAAACACAACACCGTTGAAAATCTGCAATAGAAGGAAAAGACGCCTGCAGGGATCATTGAATCATTGTCACCTCAGGATAAGTAGCAAGGGACATCAGGCAAAGCTGGGAAAGGGGAGGTAGTTCAAAACAAACAGAAGAGAGTAGCTTTCACCCAGTGTCTAACAAAGCTGTGGAATTCCTTGACGTGGGATGTTGTGGATGCTAAAGATTTATTTACATGGTTCAAAAAGGACTGGACGGATACTTTGGAAGAAAAATCTGTTGAGGATTGTTAAACACAAAGACAATGCATCTGACTTAGGAAATGTCTGACCTGAAATGTGTTGGAAAATGTTCTGGGGTTGCATCCTTGTATGTTTTCCGTCCTTTGTCTACTCTTTCTACAACATTGTCTGTTGGCTACTGTCAGAAATGGGGTAGTGGCATGCACCTGTTTTGTTTAACCCTGCATGGCAATACTTTTTGCTCTTAATGTGAAGAAATCCAGTGCACATTAAAAAAATAAATAAAAATCGGCATGACTCCTAGGCCACCTAAATCTGTGGTGCTTGCAATGATGACATGATGCAATGTGCATTTCTTCTTACAAACTATAACCACCAAGAAATGAAGTACAGTAGCTAAGGCTGGCTTTGATGCCATTTGCCTACCTCCTGGCATCACGCTGCCAGCACTGTCATTATGTCCATCACCAGGGGATGATTTCCTCGGCTCTAAGAGCTTGCTTTACAATTCTGCACTGAGAAAACAATACCTGTGGAAACACAAACCCTTACCTAGAAACATCTGCAATGCAATTGGCCCAGTCTTTTCTCAGAAATCCCCTAAGGATTGAAACACCCCTAGCAACATGCCAGAGAGCTGCTTGGGCACAGCGATTTCAGCCATCAAATATATTCCGATAATGATGTTTTATATAGTTTACAAGGGTTCTGCAAAATGTGTTGCTGCACGTTGTTGGTGGTGGGACAAGGGATGGAGGAAACTAATATATATTCCACTTCAGGCATCTTCACTAGCTTTACTGCCACGGGAAGCTGAGGTTTTATTTTTCTAGTCACGATGGGACAAGTATATACTTTTAACTGGCAAACTAATAATTAAGACATTGTGTATCCTACCACTTTTACTGTCTGAGCAAGCCAAAAAGCATGTTTTTATTGCAAATTTTTAGATTTATTTTCTAAGGAAATGAGGTTCCACAACCAAGCTCGTATGTCTGTGTTCCTGCCACATCCAGTCCCTAACACAATGACTTTGGAAGCTGTTGTCTGGTTTCAACCACAATTGACACAGTGGGAAAGATTTTTATTTATTTATTTATTTTTAAAAAAGGAAGTCCCAATATAATTAAGAAATAGAAGATGCTGAATAGCAAAAACACGCATTATTAATCACCTCACTAAGGGAAAAACAGCAGTGCCAATAGAGCCTTTATTAGACAGCAGAGTTCAATCTCTAGACAGGCCCTTAGGAAACTATATCTCATTGCTTTTACTGCTTATGGACATACTTCTTATGAGTTGAAGATAGTGCCTTTCATTGCCTGCAATCCAAATTAAAAAGACCCCACCAGGTCCTGATTAATATTCCCCACTGATTGCATGATGAAATGAGAAAGTATCAATAAGGCTAGATCAGAGAACAAGGAGGGAGAAGGGAAGGGTTCTCACTGCTTTAAAGAAGCATAAAATGACTTTGTCCTGTAAAGCATAATAATGCCTTCAGTGAAACACTGAAGGACATCTAATAAGGAAGGAATCTGACAGAGCAGGAGTGATTGAAAAAGTTAATTTAACCAGGGCTGAGTAGGACAACTGGGGTAAGAAAATTAATGATAAACTCTCCCAATTGTATTGAAAGCCTAGAGTAACCTGTGCTAAACAGAATTCTGCTGAGACAGGGTCTGTGGCCTTGGTCTCACCTTGTATATGACCTGGTCTGTGTTTCAGCAGTTTATCTGGGGCATGACACGTGCCAGACACTCTGATGCTTTGGCTCTGATACAGCTCATGACACAGGCAATCTCTCCAGCTCTCCACCAATGCTTAGCTCTGCTAGCTCTGTGCATTTTCTCCTCCAGCCTGCAGGTCCCTGTTCAGCTGACAGCTGGTACACATAGATGCTTCACCACTACTGGATGACCATGGGTGGATAAAATGGGGCTTTCAGCACCTGCAGTGCTTCAGTGTCAGTTCTTCAGTTTTTCTAAGTCTGTGCATTGAAACGTGCTCTGGATTATCTGCAGTTAAATATATATATATATATATAAATAAATGAAGTAATTCAATAAATCAGTTTAGATGACAACCAGCCTCACTTCTGTGAGGCTCAGATTTTTTTCCTCCATTATTTTTTTTTCTTCCTCAAGCTAGAAGAACTGAGATTGGAACTCAAAACTGCCTGGGAATCACCCAGTAGCTATAATATCCTCTCCACTTCAACGATATAGTCTTCCCCTTGTTTCATCTTCCCCACAGCCAAAGAAAGATAAACTTCCCAACAGCAACAACAAAAGTAGCCACACTTTGTCTGAACTAGGCTGGTTTTATACTGGATTCACTCCTTAAACAAGAATGATCTAATATCTGTTTACAGTTGTGTAAGACCTGAATCAGATTCAAAGCCTCTTACTGTATATACTTCAGTGCCCAAAATTTGAACACATTTCACTCCCCAGTCGTGCAGCATGGTGTAGTCCAGAGGTTTCTTGCGGATACCTTCCTTTGGAACCAGCCTGAGCCCCAAACTTCAGTTAGCAAGACTTGCCTCTCAGAAGAGCTAATTTAGTCCTGGCTGTCACGAGCACATTATTTTCAGTTCCTGAGGTACCTTAAGGGGCTTTCTTTGTCTCTTCACTGTCTCTGAGACCTTTGTTGGCTGTGTTAGGGTTCCCTGGCAATTCTAGGGAAGCCATGTAGTTATGGATGGATGTGTCAGTGATTAAGTCATCCAGGAGTGAGAGGGGAAAACGAAGACGAAACTCAAAATAATTCCTGGGCAGACACAACAGATGGATGAGATGAGAAAAAGGAACATCCAGGGCTATTTCTCCTGGGGAACAGAATTGACAATCAGGACTGAAGTCATAGAAAAATTATTTTGCAAGTCAGCCAATAGAGTCTTTTGAAAAGATGGTGCTGTCAGAGGAAAACAGAAGACTTCGGGTGCAGGTGAAACTATTTGCAAAGAACACATGAGTCCTAACGCTCAGTCAAGTTTAGAAAAGGTGGCATGAAACCATCAGGGAGCCTTCTCAAACCCAAATGCATCTCTCTGGTTTCCTTAGTTCCTTATGTTTCTGGACACACATTTATTACCTTTTGCTGACAAATATTTTCTCCTAACCTCTTGTCACATTTGTATTTGCAGTCCTCTCCTGACTTCCTATCCCCCCTCTGCTTCATGAAAGATTTTATTTCCATGGTCTCTGGAAGTACCTCTTTTATGATGAAATCAGACCCTTTGCACAGAAGATGGTGTGCAGCCACCTCTGTGTGGCTGCACTTCTAGTGCCAAGCTTTAAGTGGTTGGCATACAGTCATTTGTAAAAGAACAATAATAAGTATGATGAATTCTAATGCTTTCCGTGTCACAGTGCTCAGATAGCTCATAGATAAGTACATCATTGATATTTCACCAAGCAGCAGTAACTCAACTCCCTACAAAATAAAAAAAATATCCTCACAAAACCAACAGTTTATCATAATATTTATGGACAGATACCAAAAAAATCAATGGTTGAGGATCTACATCTATCACAAGTTGCAGAATATCAGAGCATCAACACTGCTAATATCAGGTCAAGGGAAGCTGCTTTAATTATCCAGATTCTTATGTCAGCTCATATTCACCTGACACCATTCGCTAGCATTAAAATGGATTTTCAGCCCCCTGCTTCATGCACCGTAGGCTGCACAGGAAATAAACCATCCCTTTTGGAGATGACATTTGTGACAATGAAGCTGATGCAATGGAGAGGTTCCCTCATTAGCACAGTATCCCTTGCACTAGCTTCATTTGAAGGCTGGGATCTCAGTGACCCCAGAAGGACCAGGGCTCCCAGGGGGCTGGGCAGGCCCTGGTAACCCACCCTTCAAGCACCCCAATACTCACTTTTTCATTTCCAGCCAGGGAAGGTGTCATATCCTACAAGGTTTTGAGATATTGAACAGAGCTGTAAAAGCCTATTTGCAAGAGATGTAAGGCAACCTCAGCACAGGGGAGTTGCCCAGCATCACTGAAAAACAGGTAAAACAAGAAATTATGTATAAAATATGAGCATTATTATAATTATAGCTAATATATAATAATAATAGTAAGTTATCGTATTATATATATATAACATAATAATGGTATAATAGAGTAGAGATCGCTAAGCAGTCCTCTCTGCAGTGAGTGGTGCGTGCCAAGCACAAGAGCCAGTGAAAAGTGAAGGCCTCACATACTGCAGAGCTAATCATACCTTGGGCACATAAAGAAGCCAGTATTTAGTGGGTGCTGGCAATAATTTCTGTCAGCAAAGTGCAGACTGTAAGTCCAAATGAAACAGGATAGACCTTGGAAAGAGGAGCAGTTTTGTAGACAGTGGCAGCCGTTTTACTCTGCTGCAAAGACACATTTGCTAGCCTGGTTCCTACTGAAGGCTGTGAGGCAGTTTGGCCTTGTCTTTTCACACTCAGAGGACTGCACTGTGGCAACAACAGGGTGAACACAAAAGGAGACACCCTGTATTAGATCAGACATTCATCTATACAAGTCTCTAGCAATGGAGTGCCTGGGAAGAAGCGTGAAAGTGAATCAAGCTTAGGGTAATATTTTCCCAAATAATTTCTAAGCCTGTGACCACTTGCAGCTCAGGGATTTCTTGAACCAAGGCAGAGCCTTTGTATGTAATAACTCTCAATGGATTTCTCTTCTGTGAATTTCCTTCGTGATCCCTTGAGCCCACCTGAACTTCCAGCACCTGCACCCGCCTGTGGCAAGGAGTGCTCACAGCCTGACTCTGTGTGGTTTGAAGAGCTACCTCCCTACTTTGAGCTCGCCACACGCTAGCCTGCGTGTGTGTACCCGTAGCAAGAAAGAAGGCATGAGGAATCATCTGAGGCAGCCACAGTTCCCCCCTCTGCAATATTTAGACTCCAGCAAGCCTCCACCCTACCTCCTTTCAGTCTCTGAGGCTGCAAGGCCCTGATCTATTTATTTGCTCCTGATGGAGAAGCTGTTCCATACCTCCAATCATCCTTCTCACTTGTCCCTGCTGTGGTGGCCAGTTGTCAGTGTCTGGAGACAGCACATGTACTCCAGGAAGGAAAATGGAGAGGGAAATGAGCTAGGAAACACTCTGGCTGGTGCAGAGATAGTCAGGGACCAGATCCTGTCAAAAGCAAAGAGCAGAACAAAGACCACAGCAAACACAGCCTTCATCATCTGGGATGGACATGGCAGAAAAATACCCATCTGAATTTGAAAGGAAGTGCATGAGACTGATGGAGAATTAAAAAGTGCATTAGGGCTCTTAAACATGTCACCACAACAGCTCCATTGACAAGTGCTGTCACGCTCCGCTCAAACAATGCTTCAGGGAAGCCAGGGCACACTTCTGAGGAAGTGCATGAGAGCCCTATGAGATCCCTGCGTGTAATATATTACAATGAATTGTTAATGACCAGGCACTCACAATAAATGGCAATACCCACTTCACTGCGAGGCGTCCCGTTGTGCAGCGGGAATCCTTTGTCTCCCCGGCAGTCTCACCTGGCTCGCCGCTTTGTTCCTGCCACCGAGACATCTCGCGCCGCAGAAGGTGCTGCTGGAAGACGAAACTCATTTCAATAGTCACGGAAAGGCAATTCCTCATGAAATAGCTCATTTGCCTATTAAAAAGCAGCAAAGCTCTAACCTCAGGTGGTTTCACCCCTGCAATCTGACAGCTAATTTTAACCTACAAAGATTTTTATTTTTCCTCCCAGAAAATCTAGACTCTTACTTCTATCTCAAGGCTCTCTTTTCTTAATAAATACCTCTTTACAGAAAGTGCTTAACATCTCAGCACATACTCTGAGTAAAAACTGTTTTAGCAGTGGAATGAGGTGATAATGTACTAGCAGCACCAAAAACGGCTGCCCGCAAATATAATTCATCTGGCTAATCTTTCCCTAGTAGATACACCATTAAGCAGGAAGGACTTTACCAGGGCATAGAAAGGGGAGAAAGGATTGAAATTCCAAAACCTCATCAACGGATGAGATGCCAACAACCACACATGTACAGCACTAATGGTACCTCAAAGCACTAGAATCCCAGCCATTTTTCAACCTTCCTCACGCTGCAGCTCGCTGTCCCCACAGCTCAGCTGTTGGTGGAACATGAGACCATTTTCCCTCCCATTTTTGTGCCTCATTTTCTTTTCAGCATCCAAGTGCCAAGAGTGCCAGGTTGGTAAGGCTTTTGCTTTCTTGTCAGACCCCTCACCAGAGGAAAAATGAGCAGCAGCAAGCTGGAGCAGCTCTAGGGGCAATGCCACCAAGAAGTAGGAATGTGCTCTTTCTTCCCTCTCTTTTTGTTGCTCAATATTGATCATGCTTCTGTAACCATGAGTTTTCCTAGGTGGGAAAACTCCATTGCTTCTTTTTGCCTCACAGCATTCGGTATGTTAACTAATTACAAGTGTGACGAGCTGAGTCAAGCCCCTGTTCAGCAGGGCCTGGAGTTAGAGCATTGCCTGGAGTCAATCTTGATGTCGCTGCAGTGAAACTTTGAAGGATGGCACCAGAGGGCTCTGTAGGTGCCCCTGAGTGATGTGATGCTCCCTGCCCGTGAATCACAGGATCATAAAGGACATGGCTTCTAAGCACCCGCATCATGACTGGCAGCCTCTCCTGCTTAGCCAGCCATGCTTCAGGCATGGGGGCTCCCATCACTCACCCAGCAGCCTTCTGCCAGCTCAGGCAGTTGCCTCAGCCTGGCTGCCAAGGCTTAAATTAAGCTCACACTCTTTAAGAAAAGTATGATATCCCTCATCTGAATGTTTGCTTACCAATCCAGAATGCTCCCAGCTTATCGAGTGCATCTCTCTGGATAGCACATCCAGACACATGCTCTGCCTGGCAGCTGTAAAAAGGTGTGGGGAGCAGCAAAGGTGCAAGGGGGCTGAGGGTGAGCCAAGGGAAGAATAAGCTGGCTTTCCTTGATGGCCAGAGCAACCTTACGTATAGCAGCTTTCTGATATTTTTTTGGCATGAGCATACAGCTTCCTCCAATAGCTCATCTCTGGCTGTCACTTATAGAGCCAAACCCAACCATGTCGCTTTGCTCTGCATTCGAAGTTTCAGGCTTACCTGCTACTGGAAGCAGAAAAACAAACAAACAAATAAATAAATAAAGCAACCTTTGGGCAGCCGAGCTGCAGCCTTAGCTTTATGTTTTCTCCCAGTACAAAATCATTCCAGGTTTGCTGAACGCAGCACACAGGCACAGAGCCTGCAGCAGCAGGTTTGCATCAGGCCCAGGGGGAAGGGTGCTGCCGCTGCTCTGCTCCCTGGGGGGCAGGGGAGGTGCTGGCTGTGCAAACACCTCCTCCTGCACATTGGTCGGACTTGCAGTAAACCTGGTGAAAACTGCTGGTGTAAATCCCTCCGTGGGCTGGTGAGCATCAGTCCTTCCCTCCCTGCCTTTCGCAGCCAGCCAGGAGCAACATGAAGAATGTGGGACCAAGGGTTTCCAGATCTCAGATGCTGAAGTATTTTAATTGCACTTCAGAGAAATTCGGCACGTAGCATATGAAACATTGCAGGCAGAGAAAATAGCTGCTCTGGAAAATGTCTGTAATTTTCAGGGATTCCTGTTATCGCTGACTGAATCCAAATATTTTTGCCCTTGGGTAAATGCCACATGTTCCCCCGTGCCTCTTAGTGCTCCCTACAGCGGCCGAGCAGGATGGCGCTGGGAAGGATACACAGCTGAAGCACGAACACAGAATCCCTCGGCTAACGAAGGGGGCTTCTCCGCTCGCTGACAGCATGCAGACAGAGCTCCTGCTGCAGGCTCGGGCAGGGCTGGCCGGCTGCATGCTCTGAATTGCAACAAAGAGACGGAGCTGAGGGGGAGCCGCTCATGCGGCTTATGGCCTCCTGCTCTAGAGAGGAGAGGCCTATTTCCTCCCTCGTGAGGGAAGGGAGCCCCTGCTCAGTCTGATGTTGGCATTCATTATTTATGGAGGGATGCAAACACGTCTGACGCATGGATTTATTTTTTCCCCCAGCACCTTAGGGGCTGTCAGAAGCAGAAGCAGACAGAAGCGATCTCCCCTTCTGATCCCCCTCCTCCACACAGGGGCTGGCGCAGACGTAGCCCTCCCCTTCCCAGGGCTCACACGCCGCTCTTCCTAGCACCATTTCGAGGTCACCAGCGTGGCAACGCTACAGCAGGTTAAAATGTCTGTAAACACTGGTCTGCACTCTTTCTAAATGTTTGTTATATAGATATCTGACATTTATTTTAGACCGAACCCATGGTTTGGTGCAAGCCTTTGTAGCATGGCGGTGTTCAGCTCTGTCCTCCCGGAGACGAAGAACATGACTTCTGACACGGGTTGACTCATAGGTTAATCCCTGAGTAGATGAGATAATTTATACTGTATCCAGCAGCGGCAGCATAAAGCAAACCCAAAGGTCCAGCAAGGCTTACCTCAGCCGCTGGATGCGTCCCAGGGACACAATTTGTCATTTCTACACAAGGGTGTACAAGTCTATTAACAGCATCTTCCACCTCTGAGAAGACAGAGTTTACATGGCCCCAGACTATTGCAATCACCCCAATGATGTTAAACATGTGACAACGAAATAAAACTGACATACACACACGCACTTACATACTCTCAAGATTTATGACCTAGAGACTGCCAACCAAAAGCATGAAGAGGAAGAAGACATCCACAGCTCTGCCTGCTTCCAGCAGAGGCCCACACACACCTCTGAACACACAGAGGCATAGGCTGTGCCCTCTGGGTAATGAAGGGAATGATTAGTGGCATTATTTCCTTTATATTAAAATTATCTGGGGACTAATGGTTCTTCTACAACACAGCAGGCCACCCTTGTCCTCTGTCCCAGATGACACAGCTCTGAATGCCTCGGGGTGGGTTTCCCTGGAGCCAAACCATGCCCCTCGCTGACAGAAATCCTGCTGCAAGAGGCAGTGATCAGAGAGCTACGGACATGGGGCGGAGATGTAGGGGATGTCCAGCCGTCCCTGTGTGCTGAAGCAGGATTAATATACCTGATCTGTCTCTGGCAAACCTTTGTACACCGTGGACATCGTGTTTCCCCACGATGCCACCTTCCTTCTCCACCAAGTTTCTGAAACTGTTAAACCAATATGACCTGCTCCTCTTCCCCACAGCTGCCAGGCCTGTTCCTCCTCCCTGTGCTTGTAAGTGAGTGAGTTGTAGCCTGAGCTATTTATTGGATGCCTCCAGCCTTGAAGTCAAGGAGAGGAAAGCTCACATCTGTATCGGTCCTTTGGGGCAGCTCTCATCACAGCAAAAAACAGAGCCCTTGCTTTCCCTGTTGGCTTAGCTCAGCCATTCATCAGGCAGTGTAAGGCCGGATTGCGTTACTGCATTGCTTATTGCTCACAGAGTTCACAACATGCTCACTAAGCTGTGTTTGGTTAATTAATTATTATTTTTTTTTAAAAAAGAAAGCACAGGCTACTAAAGGGCAAGGAGGAGTCCTGGCTTTGGTCTTGACCCATGTCAGTGTGGGTGGTTTCTGCCCTAGAACAGCAATGGGGCAGCTGGGCAAAGAGGATCTGAGGGCTCTGAACTGAGGGCAGGGGAGGACAGGGAAGGCTGCAGTAATAAAAAACTAAGAAATGCATTTTTCCTCCAAATCCATTCAGTAAGCTCATCATGAACAAGAACAGGCAAAACCCTTTTTCCCTAAGCCAATGCCCATCGTATTGTGCAGCTCATTGTATTTTGTGCATATAAAAGGTAAGTTTATATGTGTGTGTGTGCATGTATTATGCCCTTCTCTGCATCTGTGAAGTGGTGATAGAGAAATCCTGTTGTTACCAACACCTTTGACATGCTCTTCCTGCAGTCAGGTTATGCATCCAGTCAGACGCACTGGGCTGCAATGCCTACGGCTGGCTTGTTTCGCCTTGCACGGAAATGTTTAACAGATGTGATTGCATCTAGCTACTTGCAAGAAATCACTCACACAGCAGGTACCCAACATTTTTTTCCTTCTTACCTTTGCAACGCTTTCCCTCCTGAAGGAGTTGAGTACCAGGAATTCATTGCATGTCATGGGAGAAGGTCTTGAAGCTGGAAATGGGATTTTGACATATGTTCTGTTACTAATTTTCTGTGTCACCTTAGGCAAGTCATTTAATGGACCTGTAGCACGCTTTTCCCACCTGGAAAGCATTTACAGTAAGAACATCTGTATAGCCTTTTGATAATGATCGTTGAAACGTACCACTCAGCCTAAAAATAAGAAGATAAAAAAATATAAGAAATGTCTGACTGTCCCGCAATGAGCAGCTGTACAGACCAGTTCTCTGTCTCTTATAGTGGAAGTAGAAGATGCTACCTAGTGACAGCAAGCCAGCCTAGCCACTGCCTGTGGCCCATTACCCCCATCTATCCCCAGCATCTACAGTCATTGGACTACAGGGGTTGGAGGGTACATCCCTGCCTATTCTTTTTAGTAACTATTTATACACCTGTTATCCACAAATCTGTGCCACATGGAAAGCTGGGAGAGCTTCCTCAGTGGGACATGCTGCCACATGAGACATGCTTCATCCGGCGTTCTTCCTCGCCGTGCTCTGAACCTTGCTTTCCTCGCACGCTTTTCCCCATGTGCAGGTGTGGGCAGAAATGCTCAGCACAGCCCAAGGGTTTTACATAGAGAACTCAAAGAGAGTCCTGGGTTTAGGAAACCAAACAAGTAGTAATTAAAAATAAGTGGGCGGGCAGAAGCTGTACATTCCCTTGCCCCATCTGGAAATGTAGTGGTGGATTTAGTATGCCAATACTGACATTTTAATTAATCACTGTTTCTAAAATGCTTTGTGGATGAAAGCCTAACACAGTCAAATTATTATTAATAATACTTCTCTTCTTCTATGTGAAATAACATTTCACTTTTTATTATTACATTATCATGCATTAATATTATATAAGATTATTAGTAATAGCAATTGCATCTCTCTTTATATGGAAAAGGATATCTTTAGTTCTTTCCAGAATAAAAACAATGATACTACTTATTAAAGGCTTTCCCTATAATTTGGCCAATAATAATTTTATCACTGAAATTAACCACATAGTCACAGGCTGGGACAGTCATAATTAACAACAACAGAAAAGAAATACAATGCCCTCCAGTAAATAAAAGCAGTCCTCCCTCCCTCTCTGTCCCCCCACCATGTACAAAATACATAGGGGACCCTGTTGTCATAGTAACTAGCATTACAGCTTGCTTTCGATAATTAATGGAGGGCTTTGCTATTACAGTATTCTTGAAATTTCACTTTCCCCTGTGCTGCACTGCAGAATGCAGTATCATTTCCCCATTCATAAATATTTCATTACCACAGTCTGCTGTGTTTCATCATCACTGATAACACTCAGCCTAATCCACCCATTGCTGAATTCATGTAGCCCTGTCGGTAGAGCAACTTTCATTTCCGTCTTCTACTTCTGCAGTCTTCATTTTTCTTGCTCAGTGTTAGCTGGCTGCAAAACTGTCATTGCAGGCTAAGCACAGAGACCTTTATTTTCTTACTCTGAAAAACAAACATGAGTAGTAAAACGTGAGCTCTGCCCAAGTAAATAACATACAGACACACGCGGACAATGTTTGTATCACAGACATCATTTGTGTGCATCACCAGAGGTATTTAGATCAGCACTGCAGAGAAGAATTACAGTATGTTACTGTAGAGGGAAACCCAGAATCTGATTCAGCAAGATCTAGGGGTAGCTCTAGACACACTCTGTTGTCCCTCTGATGACAGCTATAAGCAACAGAAGTGGTGCTCTTACCCAGGGAATGGGTTGATGCATAATATATTTTGTAAGTAACACATAAATAGAGAATACCCAAAGTCAGTGGCACAAACAGTTGTAGTAGAACAAACATCAAAGAGAGAGGAAATAATCTTCATTATTTTCCTTAGTATCAAAATTCTTAATCAAATTAATTCCAAGGTGATTACATACATAACTTCTACTGATACCCACACACAGAGTGTTTGTGTTTCCTTGTTGAGCCTCACTTGACATTTTTTTTTTACTGTTTTTTCTTTTTATTTTGCTATCCCTTTGAAACTAGCTGCTAGCCAAAGACTGAAAGACCTTAAAGAGTTAGTGCTGGCCTCTTTAATGTCATCTGCAAAGTCTTTCTCCTGAAACTCCATGACAGACTTGTCTTATACTTCCTTTATAAGAGAGGAGACCAAGGAGGCCAAAGAGACAGAAAATGCCACATGTAACTTATTAGACAGAAAATTGCATATAATCTGGACTGTTCTGTAATGTTTCATACAGTTTTCCTCTGGGAGGGGCTAAATTCTGGGATGAGAAACCTTGGCACAAATGAGCACTAATGGAGACAACTGCATGCATCGCTTGACAGGCACTGTATACACGTACAAGGAAAATTTGTTCCATCTATTCTGCATGTAGCAGAAATACCTCGGTAAAAAATTGCATAGCCAATGCAATAAATAGTTGTTATTTGCCTATGCCATGCAATCTGCAAGACTTGCTAGGATGTCATTTATGTTGACACATTTAAAGAGAAACTCTGAGAATCCATTTTCTTCCAAGAACCATTAAAAATATATATACTTTTTTTCCCACATATTTTCAATTCAGACTCAGTAGATTCAGGCAGCAAGAAGATAAAACTGGAAGTGGAGGGAGGGAATCACAAGTATTATTTTGCTTCTTGAAAAAAAATAACAATAAAAAAAATCTGCTAATTCATATTCTGTTCCTTACCAGGAATTATGATAATCTTATTTTGCATAAAATAAGCTCCTGACTTTTAGCCGGGACTGAATACACAGAACAGATCAATTCACAGGAGAGTCCAGGGATGCTTTTCCTCTCCACATGGGACATGACTGTGATGAACCATCTTCATTTTTAAATGAGCTGGTGGGATCCTTGATCCAAGTGTGTTGGGATGGCAAGCCTCATGGAGCCAAGCAACCACCAGTCAAAGCCAGAATGCCCAGTGTCAGTGCTCAGTGGAGATGTCTGCAGTACTGTTTAAAGGCAGGACAAAACCCCCGGATTGCCTGCCAGCTGCATTGTGAATCTGCACGCCTATATTAAAAGATTATTCCAGGAGAGGTGGTGGCCAAGCATGCTTAGTGTGGGACCAAGCTTTTGCTCGTGTAATCCAAGTGGACCACGCCAACCTTTGGAGAGCATATGATGTCCCAGTCTCCCCACCCGCAGATACCCCAAGTTCAGCCTTTCTGAGCTGAGTATTAATGCTGTTGCCAGCAGTGCAGCAGGACGCTACAAGTTTAAATCAGCCAGAAGCCACCACTCTTCACCCTGCTGTGTAAAATTGCTGTGCAGCCCGTACAACCTGAACATGTCAATCTTGTATGGCATCTTACCTCCAAGAAAGAGCAGCCAGCAGGTTATTTTCAGCCATGCTCCTTGTAGGCTAAACACAAGGGGTTGGAAATTCCCCAGCTTGCAAAGAAAGCATTTCATGAGGGAAACGCATACTGGGGTTGGAGCCAGGTTCCCTGACATATCCAGAGGAAAAGGGACATGGACTAGAAGCCATTCTTGTGAGTAAAGTGAGCTCTGGTTCCCCACACAATCATCCTGCTGCCTCATGTTGCATTACTAGCATACAAATAGTTGTGTGCAGCCTTCATCCATCCAAGAACTGTCAGCATCTAGCTCTTCAACTTAACAGTTCACAGGGGCTTTTTTGCTTTGCTTTGTTCAGGTTTAGGAAAAAAAAAATCATATGGATGAGTTTTGTGCAGCGTATCCACCTGCTCTGAGAATTTGCTGGTAGTGACACGTGAAGAGAAATTACTCCTGACAATAAAGGCTATAATGTATTTTCCCTACTATTTTGGACTGAAAGATGTACTCGAGTGCGTGGGTGTTAGAGAGAGAGCAAGAGAGTGAGTGCATGTGTGGGCTTATATGCAATTGCCATTTTATCTTGTTGTTAAGTTTCCCTATGCTTTCCCTGGTTTTTAAAGAGATTTCTTAGACCCGTGTTTTCTTCCTCCCATCTTCAGAAGCTCAGTCTTACTGTCACCACCAAGTGTATCCACCTCCTTTATAAAATCTGTGGACCCCATTCCGCAACCACATCCATTAGCATGGGATTCTTCATCAGCAGAGCAGAAAGTCCTCACTCATTTTCATTCCAAACTATAAAACAGAAACAACAGAGAGCAAGGACGTTCATGTTACTTAAGTTGGTGCCTTCCTCCAATCTTCAACCACTTGTGCTGCTCCCCATCTCCAAAGTGGCCTTTCTTTATGCCTTCCAACTTCTCTCAAAACAGCTTTTAGCACTTGCCTCTCACCAGCTCCATTGATGCCAGCAGACCATTCGGTGCAACCCCTTGGAGATCCCCATCACACACCTGGGCCACCAAAGAGAAGGCCTCACATGCCCGTCTGGACATGGAGCTGAATGACCAACCACTGCCACTGCCCAGACAACCCGCCCCTGGTGACAGATTGCAGACAGTCCCCAAACCAGCAGAAGTCGCCCACATTTCATCATGAACATAACGTTCGTGCTGCGGTGCCTCAGCCCACACACCCACCAGGGCCCCATGGAGAAGCTGAGCTGGTTCCAGCATGGTCTCCTTGGTTAATGCTGCATGTCTAAACAGGCCCTCGGCAGCTGAAGCACTGCTCTTCTCAGCCCTCCCTCAGCACAGAGACACCCAACTTCAGCTCTGCACAGCCCAACACGTCTGCAAGGGCCTGGCTAAAGGTGAAGAAACACCGACTGAACACAGCAGATGGTATTCACCAGCTCTCAACACCAAGTCCTTGCAAAAGGGCTTCAGAGATGCAGAATCCGCTCCCGCCCACCATATCAACAAAAAAGCCAAGGGAAAGCCACCCTGTGGTTCTCTCACCATCATGTTTTCATTTTTCAGCCCAGAGCTGTTCATCATAGGTGAGCTGGAGAAGAAGATTCAGGGAGAGGAAACCCCAGAGCTCAGCAAAGTGTCCAGGAAGCCCAGAGCCAGACAAGCAGAGGTACTTCAACGTGCAGCCTCGATGCCATAACTTATCCCCAGCACAATATATCGCTTTTCGCTCTTCTTGCAGTGCTAAGCTATTCTGTCACCATGGCGACCAGCTGAAGTTCAGGGACCCGCTTCCTGAGTAGCCCTTCTCACTGTGCTACACCAGACACCATAGTCCCTGTGTGATCGAGATGTACTGTGATGCAAATGCAGACATTGGCTCTTGAAATGTCCATGCTAACAAAGCAGGCTTGTGCAGGCAGTGCAAAGCAGGTGGTGCTTGTTACCTTTGGAGGTCTCAAAACGTGGCAGAGGAAAACTGGCATCATCATTCCCATTTTACAGACTAGCAAACTGAGGAGAAGCGACCTCTTCATGGTCTCACTGGCCAATGCCATCGCAGGAAATAAAAAGAACAGCCCCCCAGCTCCCACTTCAGTAGATCACATCATTTATTGTGGTACTTAGACCCCCTTGACCAAGCTGGATCTGTCCTCTGCTTGGTTTTTGTAACCACATCCCTCCTTTTACCTAATAAGAATTCAACGTTTAAATAGGAAACAATGATCTCTGACTTACCTGTGCTGTGATTTTGCTGCTAGATTCCAGATGAGGCCCCTCCCCCCCTTTCCAGCCTCCTCAGACCAGCAGCCACCAAGCAAACAGAGGTAAGGGACCTACACAGCCTCTTGCCAGAGGACAGTCTTCTCCCCAAACAAGACAGTATAACCAAACTAAATGCTATATCATCTAACAGCAGCTGATGAACAACCCCCAGTCTGAGAGTTTCTTGATCATGTTATTAAGGAAGGTAAGATTGCAAAGATGCATAAGTGAAGAAGGAATGTAAGTTCTATTTACACACACACGCACACACACAAAAAAAGTGTAGGAACGCGGGTCTGACTGAAAGTCAAATACTAATATATAGTCTAAGTCCTAGGACTACTTGAAAGTTTTTGGACGGAGACTTTTTGAGCCATTTCAGGGTGGTAGAAGATGTTGGCGCAGCCATTTTGTCAGCTGCTGTAACACTAAGAACCTGCAAATCCTGAGAACTCCAGACCATGAAGTGGTCTTTTAGTGGCTTTCAGCCTACTGGTGGTTTTCCAACTGTTGACTTCTCACCAGCACATAAGGAAACAACAAGTCCTCTAACATCTCTGAATGCCTCATCCACCTGGGAAAAAAAATAAATAAATAAATAAAAAAGACTCACTATTTTTTAAATAAATTCTTCTATGCTCTGGTATTTGGGAAGTGTGAGAGTGGCAGAATTTTGTCTCAAGCTTGAATGGGTATCTTGTCCTGATGAAATGCTAAAATTTCTGGTGGATAAAAGTGAAGACTCTACCTCCAACTAACCTCTGTGAATAAGAATAAAAAATAGTCAGAGGAAAATTGTGACTGATTTATGTATGACTAGATAATACCCCAAGTAGCTAAATCTGTAGTGACTATTGCATAAAAACCTCAAATATTAGATAAATCTGTCTAGTGATATGTAAAAATCAGAGGTAGTCAAACTATACAGTACCTCGGCTGTTCAGTAATCAATCACTTTATACAGTAACATTTGCCATCTTCATTAATTGTTTGAATAATTGTGAAGCTAACAAATATTAAATTAAACAAATTAAACAGATAATGTAAATGAGATCAAATAATTTTTAATGTCATGTGAGTCAGTTCCATGGTGAGCATGTGGCTTCAGAAGGATGACGTGTTCAATATGCAAGTTCTCACCTAGCTCATCTCCTTCCTCTTTCAAGTCAAATGACTCCTCAATGCTGTCATCTAAGAAAGTCTAATTTCATGCAGAATAACAAAACAGAATTACGCTAACATCTGTATTCTGACCATTTTCTCTTTCTTTTAACTCTGATTTGTGAATGCTTAGTTAAGAAAACAAAAAAATAAGAAAATAGTTGATGTCCTCCATATGAATGACAACAAACACATTTCACTTTAAAACAACAATATTAAAAAACATCTAACAATACATTTCATTTTTTCCAAATTGCCTTTCCTAGTTCCATATACAGATGCCTCTATTTCACATTTTCAGACTTCTCTTTTCCACTGGGGCTTGCTTGCTCTCTTTGCTACACTAAATGAGAGTCCCCCTGTCCTCCAGCAATTCAGAGAATGGAAGTCAGGACGCACAAGTCTTGAGATAAGAACTACACAAAGAGGCAGCCTTTGCCTACGGCAGTCTCATCCAGGCAACAGGCCCACAGAAAGATGTTATGTCATGAACCATATATCTAGGGCCAACAGCCTGAAAAATAAAGCTTCTGTAGGAAACACTCTTTGAAAAGTCACCAAGAGGTGAGAGCGTGCGGGTGATGTGGGCCAACAGAACCAGCAATGACACGACCAGCAAGAGTGACTTCGTGCCTGTCCTTGAAGCCAGTCCAAAGTGGTTCGGTTCTGGGTCATGCTAGTTCATCAAACTTCTCCCTTCTTACCCCAAAGCAACCCGTGAAGCCAAGTTAATATTGCCAGGATCTTCTACCTTGAAAGCAGAGACATTGGGAAAGGCTGTTGCAAAAGAAACCCATGCCTCGATAATTTATCAATGAAATTCTTCCAAACTAAACCAATTCTTGTATAGTTTCGAAGTTTCTCATCATATTCCACACTAAACTGCTGCATTGGGTTCTGTTTGCCACTAAAATGGTCTGTTTCAGTCCAGTGGTCAGTACACTTTAGATTCAGCTGAAACAATTCTCACATTACGTGAATGCACATGTGCACACACCCAATCTGAAATGTGTTTTGGGATCTTTCTGGACTACAGGAGTTCTATCAAAATAAGTCACTACTGTAATCATTACTCATGCAACAACTTTCCCTTCTCCATTTGCAATGCTATTTTTGAATAGCATCACTGGCCTAGGGAACACTCAATCTGTCACTTTTCATACTATTAAATAAACCTCCATTTTTTTCTTAATTCTTGTTAATCTTTTTTTTTTTTTTTTTTTTCAGTTTTATCTCCATTTTACCCTCTGAGCTTAAACCAGTCAAAACTCATTATAGTGAACATCATATATAGGAATTAGAAATGGAAGGCACCCATTAGATCACCAGTACATCTTTCTGCCAATTAAAGACTGTTCTCTGGAGTACCTTTTTTTAATACTTTGTCTGGTCTAGCTTTAAAGAGGACCAAGCAGTTGGGCTCCTGTCCTTTCCCTCGGGAGATTGCTCCACAGCAAAATACATCTCACTGTCAGGATATTTTACCTTACATTCAGCCTGACTGTCACACCATTAGCCCTTGTTACATCCCTGCATGTCAGGCTAAAAATTCCTCTCTTGCGCTTGGGAGAGTGGGAGGGTGTTCGTACTCATCAAAGAGCTGCATGTCTCACAAACCACACATTTGTTAGTCATTCCTTAGCTAGGCTGTGCATCATTTTTAATTTGAACTCATCTACCTGTACTTCCACCTCTCCTGATCAGTTTTGTCACTCTTCTCTAAAAATCTCCCAGATTTGTCAGAACCCCTCTGGTTACTGATGGCCCGGTGTTGACTGTGTGGGTTATTCTGGGATTTGGGACACCAGGTAAAGCTAGCTGGCAGGTTCAAACCAAACCCAAGCATGCTTTCTTTTAACCCAACTTAGCTGAACTCTTTGCCACGGGATGTGAATGACAAAAGTTTACATGGGTGCAAAGGGAAACCGAATAAGTTGATGGACAAAAATAATCCATTGAGAACTCCTAAATACATAATCATATTGAGACAACAAAAACAAAATGCAGTTAGATAACCCAATGAAATGCCTTCAAGCATGTTTGCCAGCCTTTCAAAAGAGAAAATATGTTTTAGTCATCACCACATGAGACTTAGTTCTCATGGCACCCTACGAAAATGCGCCTGAGTTAAGTCACTGCAATACAAGTGCTAGTGGTGAGCACTGGCCTGGGTGTAAGGCAGGACCAGAGTGAGAAGAACCACTGCCATCCTCTGCACCATCATACCTGGAGCAATGCACATGCAGGGGTAAGCCTTATCATTAAGCATTTTATTTCCCCCTGCACAGCACATCCAAGGTGCCAAGAGCTCCTGAATGGGAACATTAAATCTTCTGGCAGAACATGCATGCAAAAGCCCCAGGCAGCAACCACATAGCTCCTGATGTGGCTTTGGTACACACACCAGACTAATGTCCTTGCAGAAAAAGCATTCACAAGGTACCAAAGGTGTGTGAACATGCTGCCGGTTGTCCTGCTGGCCTTACCCAGCACGTGCTCTGGAAAGGAGAAAGGGTTGGGAAGTAGTGAGGAATATTAAAGGCCTGGTGGCCCTCCTTGCCTCCCAGCTTCCTTCCTTCATACTTAGTCTCTCAGTTACTGCTGTACTTCTCGTTTGATTTTGCAAAATCAAGTGGAGAAAGCATCCAGTGTAATTTATTAGATGCCACTGCAATGCAGAGAAGCAGAGTAGTAAAAAGAGGCCTCATCTTGCACAGTGCTGCAAGGATCAGGTAAAGCAGTAAGGTCTCCTCTTCCTTTATTGCTGAGGGCACCCATCACCTACAGAAAGGGACTCTGGTACTGGATCAAAAGTGACTCAGGGACACCTGGATTCAGAACTTGATCTGTGGCACCAAACAAAATCCTCAGCGTCGCCAGCCTTCAGTCTGTGTGTCTGATAAATGTGTATGATTTGATCCTCATTTGAAAAGTTTCAAAATCCTTAAGATCTTGCAAGAAAGGAATGGGTTAGCATCCCTATTAAGGAAAAGTCTCACATACATGGTCAGATTGGCTCCTCCTTTTCATGTCTGTCACTAAGTGAAGGGGTTTCATAATAAGCCTATCCTACCCTTACACTTACAGGGTGTGCTTTCCCAGAGGGCTTTCTGCATGGGGCTCCCTGCACAGCACTCTCCCTTTACTTACAAAATACCTCAACAACCATGCAGGAAAGGTCACTGGGATCAGGAGGGCCTAGGATGAACCTCACAGTCTATATGAGGAGTGCACATAACCCTCAGACTTGAGTTTTTCTTATTCAGAAAGACTGCGGGAAAGCTCTTTGTTTGGCTTAACATCAGCCTGGATTGTCGATGTGGTTTCCAGGCTGAAATGGCCATGCACAATGCCGTCTGCATTTACATCAGACAAATTGCCTCTTCCCTAGTAGCATGTAACAGGTGCCACCTGAACACAGGGCAGAACTGCTCATGTGGTCTAGTTCACCTCTATTCACCACTGGGAAATGTCATTACTTTTCTTCTGTTCCTCACGTCTCCATTGAAACGTTACTGCTAGGAGAGGCTGCACTGTCTGGACATCCTCTCATCCAGCTGATCTACTTCATAGCCCGGAGAAAGTAGTAGCAATCAACAGGCCCTGCAAGTTAAAACCCACTGTCACATCCGTTGCCCTGTCCCCTGCAGAGCTTTTTGCTCTTGGCAGGTAACAAGGTTCCTCTCAAGGACATGACTGGCACATCTTATGGTGGCTCTCCTGCGACAAGCTGAATTCAAGGTAGGAATTTCTCCGTCCTGTCCTGACCACGTGTTGCCATCCTTGGCCTTGAAGTGGACCACATTCCAGGTCTCATGGGCAGCCCATCCACTATCTGGGCAGAAGCCCAGTCACAGATGTGCTGGTTCCTGCCCAGCTTGGCAAACCCATGTCCGTGCACACAAACCCTCCAGAAGGCCATGTTGCTCCTGCAGAACAAGCACCTGCTGAGCACCTTTGAAGTCCTGATTCCCCTGATGATATACTTCACAGTAGGCCTAAGGATGCTTAATAACTCCAACGCTGTGAACAGTCAAGGAATTCAGTCTGTACCACAGAAGGTGTTAGAGAATAAGCA